GCGGGGCCGTGATGGGAGCCGGTTCAGCCACTGGCGCGGCAGACCTCACAGGCGCCCGCCGAAGTGCCTCTACCTCTTTCCGTAAGAGGCGGAGGTCCTCCTCCAAATCAGAGACCTTTCTCTGGAGTGCCCGGTTTTCGGCCTCCAGAGCCGCCGTCGACGAGGTCGCGGAGCGAGTCGCCAGCTCTGCCTCCGCGATCCTAACTTCTAGGGGGAGTTAGGTTCGGTTACCAAGAACGAACTAACCTATCGACAAATCCAAAGTGGGTGTGATCCCTTGTCCCCTAAAAACAAAAAACTGGAAAGAACTGACAAACACTCACAACAATGTACTGTCTTACAGCCATGCACAAAAACGTAGGGTTATATTTCTAATTCATTTAATACATGTACCTACTTAAACAACGTCAAGCCATTTAAAATTACAATTACAATGAAATAAGGTTAAAATCTAAAAAAGAAAAAACCTAAAAGCTAAAAAGCATGATATCCATTACTACCCTTGCCTTCCCATACTAGACCAATTACTTTCATCGCTTTCTATTTTTACATGAATATTCCTTTCTTCTCCTTGCTTTGGAGCTAAGTCCCTTAATACTATAGCATAATATATGATACTATTACAGTAATATTCGGTAAATTGAGTGCCCTCCATGTTTATTTCTACGTCCCTATATACAAGGGCTAACCCAATAAAATAGTAATTACGCAAATAATAAATAGCAGCCGGTAAATAGAAAGTACGTAATGTTACAGAGTTTCTCTATATCCATCCTAGTTTGGTCTACTTTCGTTGTTTGCTAATACCCATAAAGGTAGTATAATATTAAGGTAAGGTCCAGGTCATTGGTCTTTCTATCTTTTAATCTCATTATAATATTCTCCATCAAGATGTCACCTCAAGCAAGAAATAATTCCCCTAAGAACGGGAAAATCTAGGTCATTCGATATATAGATCCAATAGATTTAATAGTTAACCAATTGCCTCTTATTATTCAGGACATAGATCTCCAAAAAACTGTCTACATCTCCTTCTACTCCTACCTATTTTTCCCAGACTGTGACAATACAGCTACGTAACTAACGATGTAGGAGAGAGATCCCTCATCGACTTATTACAGCATGCTCCCAATTATACACCTGAGCCAAGTTAGTATTCATCGTTTCGTCACATTTTAATATATGTCCCATCAATTGTTAATTATTAGTTTGGTTTTACCAGTAATTTCTAAGAATATAAGTTGTTAAATTAACCTCCTACACATTTATTTAGTATCCCACTTAGCGAGTTAGTTTATAGAACGTAACAACACGCATCGTTATCGCAGATATCCTTTCAATAACTAACACATTTCCTACATTTGGCCCTGATCACTACATCATAGATAGGTTAAGACCTTTCTTACAGGTAGTATTCTTTGAAACTAGTCCTATTATTGTCTTTCTATCTTATTATCTCCATTTTCATTACGCATTTTATTCCTAGCCACTTTCACTATTAGTTATCAAAACTTCCTCAGTATAGTCACGGTACGGCTCAGTTTCTATCTCCATTTCACTGTGCTATTTCAATACTCAGCCCACTAATTATGTTCTCTAAGCTCATCCCTATTTTCAGAAACTTTTCCTCTATACTCACTGTTCGTATCCTTATTTTCCTATCCACAGTCTCTATTTCACCTAACTATTATTAATATCTTTAATATTTTAATATAGTTTACTATAATAGTAATATAATACCGTATCTTATTCTACCAAAATTAATTCTCAAGGTATTGTTTTTATAAAACATCATAATAACAGCTCACAATTGTATCTCATTTATATAGAACAGAAATTAATTATATTTGTCAGATTATATTTGCCAGATTGTTTCAATTATCACTAATCACTTCCCAATCTAACCTTTAAGCACCCACTATGTTGTTAATTAAAAGTTCATCTTATAAAGTATAACCTTCAGTAGATTTACTCTTTTTATTATCATTCAAATATTATCCCTGTTTTTTGAAAATTATTTCTCTTTCTTGCCACCTATATTCACTATCACACTTAAAACATCATAACTTTCCTTCTATTTATTTATTCTTATTATTCTTCTTATTTTATATTTGTCTACTTATTCCTTCCTTCATTAACGCAGTGAAAATATGTCAGTTTTCACTTATTTTCACCCTCTGCTTCTGATTCACTTTGAACCTGTACTTATAACCGGAAGTGCATCAACTTTATTATATTCACCTAAAACATTTTTCCTTTAGATATATCTATCCATTCATTTCAAGATCTGCAATATAAAATTCCACTGTCAAGCAATGTTTAATTTCTAAGAATTAATTTCTCTCCCTTATCCTTAAATCTTTGAGTCACTTGTTAACCCTACCTTAACAAAACCGCCTTGCTCCTTCCATAATTATATCCTCTTTATTCCTATTATTCACTATTCCTAATTTGATATTTAAATTTCTCAAGCAGCTAATGCATTCCTTATGTCACAATTTATTTGCCTACAGCCATTGACTACTTATAATCTATAGAGGGTATGTCTACTCAAAACCATAGACAATATGGAAGAGTATGCGACACACTCCGACTCCTGTTCCTGTCCGAGTTGCCGTGTAGCGCCATCTACGGTCAGGGTTGGGAGCTATCGTATCCCTGAAGTTGTATGCCCTCTATATAGAATATCAGTCAGTGTTGCCCTGCTGGGTCAGCACTGCCTTGTCTCGCCAATATTCCACTTCATTATTCTAAGCCTAATTGTTTACAACCTCCATTCATATCAACTATCCACTAATCATTTCTTTACCCTTATTGCACCTATGTATTACATCCCCCTTCAACAAGATCAACGAAACGAGGAATCGTCAAACCACGGAAATAATTATTGTTTATATGGACAGAGCAAGGCAGACTGTCGAAAACTCGAGGTAAGACCAAGACATTTATTCTAATAAGAAAAGGTAAGATATCTTCCTCTATATAGGTTCGCCTTTTACTCTACCTGTCCGACACTTCCAACTCATTTATTTATCATATCTTTATTCTTCCTATAATAGACCCTATGGTTATTAGGGAAAAAAGTACTAATTAACTGGTGTATATGTCCT